TATAACACAAAACCAATAAGACACACGGCTGACACATGGCACACCAACAATCAATCATCGTCCAGCCTCAGCTTTGGTATTCTTTCACAACGATGTTATGGGTTTATTAGACTGAGCAAACATAAACATATGTGGGGAACATAGTGCTGCATCTCATGGAACATGAAGATTTAATAAATACATAGTAGGTGGCGATATATGCTCCTAGTGGTAGCGATTCGCCATTAAACAAAGAAGAAGAACAAACATCAGGGGGAAAGAGAGGGAGACACACAAGCACCCACTACGGCACGTAACACATGTTGTTACGTTCCCTCTTGGCGAGGGGTACAAAGGGAAACGACACGACCAGAGTATAATTGGTATGTGTTACCAGCGGTTTATTTGTAACTGCAAGTAAGTAAAATGATATGCACAAAACAGCTTGGCCCAACAACGGGTCAAACTGTTACTGTCCTGTCACAGGAAACAAAACCGTCCCTTCTTAGGGCGAGTTCCCACTGCCTCCTCCTCTCTTCGGTTTTGGGAAACCTTAAAAACATGAGAAAGGTAGCCAGATATATAAATTATTGTCAACATTTTCCTCCCTTCTTTCCTTTAACATTAAGGGTAAGGACAAAAATACACACCGAAATTATCATATTTTTGGTATGTATGCATGTATGTATAGCCTACTTTAAGAATAAGACAACCACACTAAGAGTAATAAAAAAAGGTGTCCAAAAGAAACATTAAATAATTGTGTAAAGAAATGGTAACAACATATTCTAAAGAGGCTGGGTCAACAACAATCTTGCAATACTATTATCTCACATAGCCCCACTGATCCTGTGTAGCAGGACTTGTAATGTACATACATCCACTAAGTAATTAACGATTATCCTAATTTTAGTCATAATATTGTCATATCTTACACGTGAAAGGTGATCCCACGGGTTCTTGTTTGCAGACTGCGGTGATTAGAGCATCCGTAGGCTGCACAAAAGTCTGGCATAGTCAGGTACTTCTGTAAACACAAAGACAGCAAATTCCTGTATCATAATGCAAGATGTTTTTAACAAGCCAAACCACTTGGAAGAAATCATGTGTAACTTAAGTTATGTTGAAAAGAAAGAGCAGTTCTGCCTCTTCCACTGGTGTAAAGTTGCTGGGTCAACTTTGTAATACTAGGTCTCACTCACAGCCTCTTGTTATTAGCCAGCTAATAAATACAACCACATACACAAAGAAAAGCTGCAATTTCAACATGTCCAAGCATCATGTATCATAGCCATGCTAATAATGTTTATAATAAACCAAACCGTTTGTAAATCAGTCAAGATTTCAGCGAGTTAAGAGTATTTTTGTGCAGATCACTCACCTTACAACAGCTACCATAACGCGAATCAGAGTAACTGTTAACTGTAGCAAGATGGCGGCCGGTCAGCTAGGCTGGAAAATCTCCCATGAGCCATCTAGTGTTTATATATATCTATGGGTAGGCCATCCAGTTATTTTAGCCGGGCCGGCTATCGGGATGTTAAGAGCATTCCATGGAATATAATAAAAAGTGTATCTCGAGCCGGTTTCTCAAACTTACCTACCCCACCTTTAACATTAACATTAACATCATGGTAACACCATGGCGACTGGCGGCACACCTGCAGCTGTACCGCTTGTAATTAGGTTCAACTATAAACACTTCGAACAAAACGCCGGCGGCACCAACAAAAGGAGCGCACACTGCAAAGTCTGCAATATTAAAATCAAGGATGCTGGTGCAACAACATCAAATTTCATCAGGCACTTGAAAACTCACCCGGAGAGGTCAGTCACATTAACGCATATGGACGGTTAGCAAACATGTTTAGCTCAGCATCAGCTATGTAATGTTAACTTAGCTTGCTACTAGCTTTGTAACTGGATATTTGAAAAGATGAGTGAATGTTTGCTTGTCACACTTGTTTGCGTTGAGTGGCGTTGACATCCAACTCTTGACATGACATAAAAAAGGTCGGTAACGTTAATCATTACGTTCCGCTGCCACCATCTACTGGCTAACGTTAAACGTAGAAAAATACATAGTTACATACATAAATACATCTGTCGGTTTATAGGCAGGTTACAGGTTTATTGTTGACCACGTAACGTTAATGTTACAGGTTTATCCAAACATCCTCACTCCCAGGTCGGCCTATGTTGACGTTATGTCAAGTCCCCTGTCGGCTTTTTCCAACGCAAGGGGGGGCCTAACGGTACGTCCACACAGCAGCTTTTCAAAAATCTTGAAAATCTTGGAGCTGGGCGTGTCTGAAAGCTTGGGGATTTCGCGACCAACAACCAATCACATGAATCTCCCGCCCCCGACATACAAAGCAAAAAACCCCGGTTCTTCTCCACTATTTCTTTGAACATTTTGAACATTTATGAGATTAATGTCTATGGTGCTATTTTATGCTACATTCCATGCTGGCTAATGATACTGTCTATGCTTGCTAGCAACGAAGTAAACTAGCAACGAAGTAAACTGGATATAAAATCCCCAAACAAGCGAAAACCTACCAGTTTCACCCACTGCCTCTGCCACCTCCCTCCATGCCTGGTTCCTCCGGTTTGTATCCCGGTAAGTAAATAGGGACTGGTCATAAAGAACCGGGTGATTTGCTACCGCAATAACTAAGTTCTCCTCCATTTTTGTGGAATATAGAAATGAACTGCGGGTCTGGTTCTCCCAGCTTGCACGCGGTTTGATTGGCTAGCGCTTGAACTGTCAGATTTGCATAAACGGATCTGATTGGCTGTCGCTTCCAGCTCAGCCTCAAAAGTTGAACATTGTTCAACTTTGGAATCCTGAACATCCTGGAAATCTTCGCCTCGCCCCCCCACAATGCAGTTCGGTGACAAGCGAGGGAAAGTGACGTCATCCCCATTCAAAGTCAATGGGCGGAGACGCGCTGGAAGCGGTGGACAAATCGCCAAAAGCTGCTGTGTGTACGGGCCGTTAGCGTCCATTTTCAACGCAAGGGGGGGGCCCTTAGCGTCCATTTTCAGCTTTCCGGGATGTCCCTATGCTTCTATGGACGCTCATGGAAGCACGGCGTTCGTTTGTGTCGACTGCCCTTAAAGGCAATGTGAGCGTCCATTCTCATTGGATAACGGAGAATTGTACACCCGGAAGTAAGTATTCCCCTTACTGTCGATTGATTTTACAGTGATATCTGCACTACTCATCGACTAAAAAACACCAGATTATCCTTGTTAATTACACAACATTGATTGGTTTAAATTGTGTGCAATGCTTTTGTATTTTTCCCCTTCGATTCGGAGAAACAAATGTTTTTTCAGAGTAAAGGATGGCAGAAGACACTACACTACCCAGAATCCCCAGCTATCGTTTGGACTACACCATGTGCTCTGTTTGACAAACCCCGTGATAGTCCTCAAGCTCTGTGATTGGAGAGTGTGCTCCGAGGGTTACACCGAGCCTCGAACAGCACTTGAAATGGGATGGAATCACGGCAGACTGTCCAAAACTGGATTTGAACGGGTCCACCGCGTCCCCCCCCCCCCCCCCCGTCCCCAGAACTACAAATGCTGGCTATTCTGTTTCGCAACATGTTCTGTATCTATGGCACGTCTCTACTGGGAGTTGTAGTTTTAAAAGACGTTTTCGTATTTCCCATAATAAGAAGTTGCCAGTATTAAACTGTGTACATCCCTGGAGGTTTAGGGGATAGGAAACACTCACATTTAAAACATATAATTAATAAATGGGTGAAAATTGCTTGTGCCCATAATGGGCAGCATTAATATATATATACACATGCCAGCTAAGGTCAGAAGAGCTTTATTTAACAGCTGGTCTTATGTTTGTGACCCCTGTTGTTAATTGATAACATTACATTACATTACATTAATTGATAAGCCTGAAACATGCACTTGTTAAGGTTCAGAGGCACATTTTGCAAATATGGCAGTAGCCATCGATCAGCTTAAGATAAGATATACTTTATTGATCTCAAGTTGGAACATTTGCGTTACATCAGCATGTGTAACAGTTAAATATGCAGTGATGTTTATTTGTAAATCATTTAGTATAATCACAAAAATTCTGTGTTTTATATTCAACAATTCTGTGTTCTTTATTATTGATTGTTCAATACCTGACAAGGTCGGAGATAAATATCTACATACATCTTATAAGAGTATAATACATTATGTATAATATCAGTTAAAATAAGTGCTTCAACATAGTTAACATTGCTGGAGGTATGCACAAATATTGATAGATGTCTTGTAATGCGCTATTGAGGAACCTGCGACCCAAGTTTTTCATTCAATGCATAACTACACCATAGTTGTGTAGGCCTATATGATATGTCAATAAACCTTAGAAAATCTTGAAATCTTGAAAGGGATGTGCAAAATAGTCATTATATACAGTCTTTAATTAACTATTAGTAGAGAATAACGAGTAATTAATATACTTTATAGGGATCCTATTAATATCTAATAATACAAATAATGAAATTCAATAACATGCTTTAACCACTAGGTGTCCCTTTATATCAGCTGTGCACCTTTATGGTGTAAATACAGCCTATCTACCAATTGGATCAATTATAAAAGTCAGCCGAATTAGTGTTGATACTGCAAGGAGACGTATTGTGTGAAAGAAATGTAAGATGTTGTTTAATGGCTGATATATTTATGATCCACGTCACGTTTTCAGTTCCTCATGTTTGTCTAGAAGTCTTCTCATCAGGCCTCTATAAATACAGAACTACGGCAGATATGTAATATTTAATGCAGCCGAACCGTGTATTACAATGCCGTTATGTGATGACTTCCAAAGAGAAAAGCAAGCACACTCGGAATAAAGTATTATTGTATTTTTTTAAAAAATGTTTTCGGTCTGTTTCCGTTATTTGTTAATGACGATGTGCTGTGAGATGTGAGACTGGAATTGCAACAGGGGAAATAACGTAGGCTATCTTTAGATGCGGATTTTGTTTAAACTAATATGTTTGCGCTGTGGACCAACACTATACATTGACGGGGAAGGGGGGGTAAGCAATAAAGATAACACCATTAAACAGTTACACAACATAACAGAAATTATAATATCGATAGCAGCGTCCCCTAGCAACCACCTTGGTAACAATGAAAACGTTATGGACGCAATTTCCTGAAGTCCTCTTCGTAATAAACTAGCAACCTAAAGATCATGTACATCCACTGCACACCAATAATCTGAAATAACAACTCATATTCTCGCATAAATGACATCAAAACGCATTTTAATGGCCAAACTAACTTTAAAATAGCATTTTCCATCGAGAATAAAAAGAAGTTCGGCCATGTTTTTTTTTTTCTGCAGGGAGAAATTTGAAGATCACGTGACGTCAAACAGAGACATGGTGTAGTCCAAACGATAGCTGGGGATCTGGGTAGTGTAGTGTCTTCTGCCATCCTTTACTCCGAAAACATATTGTTTCTCCGAATGAAGGGGGAAAATACAAAAGCATTGCACACAATTTAAACCAATCAATGTTGTGTAATTAACAAGGATAATCTGGTGTTTTTTAGTCGATGAGTAGTGCAGATATCACTGTAAAATCAATCGACAGTAAGGGGAATACTTACTTCCGGGTATACAATTCTCCGTTATCCAATGAGAATGGACGCTCACATTGCCTTTAAGGGCAGCCGACACAAACGAATGCCGTGCTTCCATGAGCGTCCATAGAAGCATATGGACATCCGGAAAGCTGAAAATGGACGCTAAGGGCCCCCCCCCTTGCGTTGAAAATGGACGCTAAGGCCCCCCCCTTGCGTTGGAAAAAAGCCGACAGGGGACTTGACATAACGTCAACATAGGCCGACCTGGGAGTGAGGATGTGTTGGTTATCAGGTTACCATTACACTGGGTTTGAGTGAGAGGATAGAGGAATATGTTTATTTATAGTAGACTTAAAAAATGTAATTAGAGACCCAGTGTAATTAAACAATACGGGGCCAAATGGCTAGCCTAGTGAATGTTGAATTTTTTCCAGCCACTCAATAGATTGCCATTGTTATTTTTGGCTGGTGCGTTGCAACATACAGTACCAGCCACTTGCATGATTTACCAGCATTTGGCTGGTAAATTGCTGTTAATGGTAGATATCTCTTATCTCTTCTCTTTTTTTTCCCGATTAATATTGCCAGCAATAGTTTTTTAGTTGCAAATGGCACAGAACAAATGTTTACTTTGAAGTACTTTTAATACAGTTTCCCTGCGGGGGATTAATAAGTATTTGTGATACTGATTTCTGATTCTGAAGTGTTTTGCTTATAAGTTGTTTGCATTTAGCTAAAGTGTGATGTTTTTCGTCATATTGCATTGCACTAGCCTGTTTTAAAGTGATCATATAACAAACAACTAATCAGTACTGATACTGTATGCTAATAGATATAGGAGTGATAATAATACAGTAAATGCCTTTGAATTTCTTAGATATAGCTGTGCCAGTATTCTTAACATACTGGATAGCAGCAGACAATAGAAGGCTTATTACAACCAGAAGAGACTTGAGACTTGACTTGGACTCGTGACCAAGGACTTGAGACTTGATCAAATTCACCCCACAAAGACTTGAGACTTGACTTGGACTTGCAAAAAAAGACTTGTGAACATCTCTGGTGTGCACAGACAGGGCTGCTGTTAACGTCGGTCTGTACAACGGAATTATGCCAACACTACGCCAACGGCTGCGGAGGGAGACTCCCCCCCCTTCACTGGAGAACTGCGCTAAAACAGTGATCACAACGTTCACACTTTGTGGTCACGAAGTACTCCCACTAGCCCCCCCCTGTCGACTTTCCTGAAGTACTCCCCGTTGATAGAAATCAACACGTAATGAATTAAGACCCCACGGTTTGATGATTGATAGGTGTGTGGCTGTCTTTCATTTTGACACACAGACAAATGTATATATAAACATACATACTGTACACAGTTAAATGGATATATCCGCCTTCTTTCATTTATCTTTCCATTCCCCACAACAATATACATAATAATGGCATATTTTGGACATAGTTCGAATGGTGATTAATCATGATTAATTAATTTTTAAACTTTGATTAATCTGATTAAAAATGTTAATCGTTTGACAGCCCTAATACATATATATATATATATATATATAAATTCCACCCTCCAGGCCTATCAAACCCTGCAGCATCTTATCTCTCTTGCTCTCAACTTTCTGGCGTCTCCATTCAGGAGGTAAAAACTTTTTTTTTCTTTGAGATGGAAAACTACTGCTCAAGCTTTTGAGTGCACTCAAGATTAATTTGAACTGGAACAAGAAATTCTATTGCTGTAGGCGGGCCAGTTTGTGACAGAGCAGTTTTTCCCTGACAATAAATATCATATATTTTCCTTACAGGCACCTTAGGGACACATTTTCAACGTTTAATAACAGAGTTTGGTGTGACGCTGCTGTTTGCTGCTTGTGTGCAGTCTGACAATGATGCGATTGACTCTTAATAAATATGACATAATCATTTCAAATTTGTTCTAGCTTCTGTTTGGAATATAATATATTGACAACCATTTCCAAGTGTAAATCTGTACGGCTGGCGTGGATTGGTTGTGTGTTGTGTGCTGCTGGTGTCCATGTGTAGGTGCCACTTACCTTGTACAATGAGGTAGACCTGTGAGGTCTTGGGCTGCTGCTTCGTCTGTATGGAGCAGGTGTACGACCCCTCATCATAAACATCCACCTATACACAATCACAAATACAATATTGTTTTCATTAGTTTGAAAATATCTTATCATATGCCTGGCAGAGCATCTTATCCTCATTTATCTTCCTACATGTTACTTTTCAAGATCCTACTCTATAATTTTTATTGTTGACCAACATTCACAATATTCTCGAAATAAATATTTATGCTTCTTCAGTGGAAACAACGTTATACCAGGGAAAGTAGTCGAATTATCTCAATCAACTTTACAATATAATGTGTTTTGATTATTATTAATTAATTCAACTTTTAAGAAGTCAAAGCTTATAGACATGAGTAATGAATGATCATCATTACATAACAGATACGATCAGAATTTTCAGCAGACCTCCCAGCATGGACAGTTTAGATGAGGTACTTAACCCTTTATGAAAACATGTATTATTTTTTAGTAAGACTTGCTGAACTGATAATCAATGAAAACGATCACTTTAACATTCTCGGAGGATAATCTCATTTACTGTCTAGCAGAGGGTGCATACTGATACCAGTCTAACATTAGTTTATTTTCAAATGATATTTATTGTTGTTAAAGCACAAAAAAGGGTTTAAAATTAATAGATGAACATACAAAAAACAGATATGCTTATGAAGGTTTATGTTTAATAATTTTTAAATGTAATCCTAAGGAGGAGAAACAATGGTTTCTTTCCCATCTTTAAATGGCAGCTGTTATTAAATCTAAAGATGAAATCAAAGAATAAAAAACAAAAACATTTTGGTCCGGTTTCTAGGTCAGTGTTGCCTTCTGTATGCGCAGGCTGTACTCGAGCTGTCCTTTAGTCACCAGATCTACTCTGGGGTCCAGAGACCACTTGTCCTGGCCAGCATAGATGATGTTGGATCGATTGAGCCAGGCCACTTTGGACACTTTGTCATCCACATAAACACCTGCAGGAACAAGAAGAACAAGTAGTGTTTAAGGGAAGTTAAGTGAAATAAAAGCCGGGTTTACTTAAAAAAAGAAAGAAAATTACGTGACATCCTTCATTTCATAATATGTAAACTCAAAATCAAAGAGGAGGTATAATTGTGTAGGAACTTATCTGCATCACAGTTCAGCTATGTGTGGTTTAAACTGCTGAGTGTATTCCCTCAGTTAAGGTTAGTTAAGGTTTACAGACAACTTGGCGCACCTCTCATTCAGAGGTCTCAAAACAAGAGCTATGTCTTAACCTGTGTCTCTCTTCCTTATTTCTCTCTCTGATAAATACATCTCCTTTAACAGTCAGCATATTCCTGTGGATGAGGAAGGATACCAGTATGCTGTTGTTTACTCCTTGTGGCAGACAGTCAGAACATTACTCCAAGAAAGCTCGAGCTAAGACAACTCGCACAGGAAGCATGGTAGCCGGGCGTCTGCCTAATGAATAAATGTAAATGTGAGAAGACGTCGGAATCAATGAGAAGGGATATCAGCCGTAATGCTAGCCGACAGTGGATGCGCCTCACATGCAAATTCTGGTGACTCCGGTAGACCAGGCTGTGCACATGGCTGTGGAGTGTGTTGGGCCACAATGGAGCAGATTTGGGAGGTAGCAGAGTGAGGCTGTCTTTGGCAGGTGACCCCAGGTGATGCACACAAGTGGTGGTGCAGTCACCCCTGCCTGTTACCCAGTGGGAGCTGGATGTCAGGTTTGTTGAAGGCTTGTACTCACAGCTTGAATCCTGTTGATGTTCCTTCCCTTGTGTGGGAGCCCAGATAACTCACTGTATTTATTGACTCGCTTTGACATCTACACTCTACTTTCTTCCCTCAGAAGTGAACAGCTTTTAAAGGGATTTCCCTTTGGTTTCAGATATCTTCAAAGCTTTAATTTAAAATACTTTATAGTTATATGCATCCTAATCTTATGCAGACACATTTTCCTATATTGACGGAGAGCTAGTCTTTATGAACAACAATAAAATAACGATAAAAGTTTGGACTCCAATGGACACATCGGAAATACTAAAATGGAGCCTGACTTACATTTTTTAAATCTTAGATTCAACCTCTGCAAATCACCCATGAAGGGTAGGCCCCTTTGGTGTAATTCAGAATGTGTCCTTGTATTACAAGTCAAACATCGCTGCTTTTAAAGAAACAAACAACATATTTTTACCAACATTGAAAATGAGTACAAATATACACAGAACATGATGCTAAAATTGTCCTGCTAGATTCACAGGGACCTGAAGGAGAGCGGAACTTTGCCAGGCTTCCATTTGTTAATATTTATTTTGGATTCAACACCATGTAGCCTGTCATCCTCGCCAACAAACTGGTCACTCAAACACACTGAAAACCAACACAATCTCACTACAAGGGTTGTTTTCCTATCCCTCCTCCTGTTCATGCTCTATGGTGACTGTGAAAGCATCCATCCAAACTGCCAACTCATTAATGTTGCTGACTACACAGCCGCTTCTCTCAGGCTCTGAGCAGGAACACGGTTCTTCTCTATGATTTTAACGTTAAATGGTGCAACAATACAATGCTGGATTTCAATTTCACTCAGAGGTGGTTGGTGGTTGATTTCAGGATGCAGTCCAGACAAGGAGTTGGATGGTGTGAATATCTTGGAATCATCTTTGACATTTGAGCAAAACACAGAAGCCTTATCAAGAAAGCAAACCTGCATCGACATGCTTTCAATAACTGAATTCCAAAAACCCTTCTACAGTTCTTCAGCGAGTACATTCCGTGTTTCTCCTTCACATGTTGGTTGCCATCACTCACTGTCATAATCAGAAACCGTCTCCATACCACAATTAACACCTGTTCCTAAAAAATCACTGGAGTGCACATTACGAAGCCTCATTACTAGCTACCACTGCGTGTGCCTCGCATGTTTTAATGTTGTGAGACTATGTGTGTCATCACAGCGTTAATTTGGCTCTCTGTTGAAAGATGCTGTCACCTCAACAGCGACAAGATTCACAGTCACGGAACTTAACAGGTTTGTAGTTCAGATCAAAATGTAGAGCCAGTGCAAAGGTGAGCATGGCAGTGGTGCATATAAGTAAACAGAAAGGTAATGAGGAAAGGACCTACAATTTATGCCATGGCCTGAATTGGTATTGCGGGTGGCCTCTAGGTCTGTGAGCAGCAGGGAAAAGCCCATGACATCATGTAGGATAACATAACACCCCATCATCTCCACCTACAGATCCAGATGCCTTCTTTCGTGGTGTAGCGTACGCAGTTTCTCTAGAAATGGGCACAGAGCTCTGTTCATTCCATAAGACCTCCGCTGGACTAAGGATCTCAAGAACAATAATTAGCTCTATCTGGATCTGCCATGTAGTCTTTTCCCCTACTTATTATTTAATTTATCATTATTCTTTTTAATAACGATATAACTTACTTTTTAAATATAACTGTACTATCAGCTCAACACTGTTCCATACAGCTATTTGCTTATAATTGTCTATAAACTATTACTCATGCCTAAAATGGGTTCGCTTTCTTGGATTTATGACGTTTATTAGATAAGGTGAATTGGAAGAGCCAGATGACCGACATGTATTCAGTCCAGTCTATGACACTGTCCTGCAGTGTGGGACAAGGGGTCAACATTGCATTTGTATACACTTTCCCTCTAAACCAGTGTTTGCATATTTTCTTTATTGTAAGAGCCCTCTTGTACTAAAAGGGTTTTAACATTACTAGATTGTTTGTTATATAATTGTACGATGAAGCTGTTTTTAATTAGATTCATAACAAATCAATTGCTCACTTTGTGTAAAAGTTATAATGCTGGGATTGATCATTCCACAAACTCATTAGCGACAAAGCCCCTACATTTGTGAAACACAAAGTGACAAGTTAACAGCTTTTAGGGGATGGCAGTGAATCACTAAACTGTCCAGGCTGACTGTACGGCTGCATCTTGTTGGTTTTCAATGAGCTTGCTTCCTTTCTCCCCTTATTATCTCCTGTCTCCCACCGTGAAGTAAATGGGAGGAGGTTAAAAAAACGAAAGCATGCACGTAAGTGAAGGACAGAGAGAGGAGACGTGAACAGAATCATGACACCAGTTTCCTTTGGTTGTCTCTTTCACAAACATACATTATACTTAATAAAGCATTTTGATCGTTTACATTTCTTAATATTATTTATTAAACAGAATTGCGTTGCTAGGCAACAGCATGGGTCCATTCTTACTTCCTGTCAGCTGATGCATTCGCTGACATCAGCAAATGAACCTTCAGATTGATGACATCATCTTGGCCTTGATGCTTTAGAAGTTTGCAGGTCTCAGCTGTGACGGTGAATTCATCAGAGCATCAGAGCATCAGTCAGAAGGCAGAAGGAACTGTTCCAGCTAGTGTCAGATCATTGCAGAAATAGGTTTTGTAGCAAGCTAACATTAGGTAGACTTGCACGTCTATTTTAACGAGATAATCTAAGTGAACTCCATTTTTGTGGCTTTAATTCAGTTGAACAATTATATTCAGTTTGCTTAACAACAGGTCATTTCATCACCGCAGTAGAGATGGAGATGAACAATAGAGATGAGATGGAAGTCAAGCTCGAGATTCTGCAAAAAGAAAATCAGGAAATCAAGTTGTTTGCTGGAGCAGGAAAGGACTTTAAGGAATAAGCTTCAGATTGAAGGCGCTAAGAAGGAAGCGATGGCTGAAAGCATATACAGAGAATGCAGCTGAGCTATCTGGGCAAAATGTGAACGTGAAAGCCCAGGAAATTGAGCACAACATCTTGCGCGTCAACAATGAGGACCTGAACATGAAATACGGAATGCTCCAGAGGTCACACAAGAAGGTCGAAGCAGAGATGGCTGCCTTGAGAAAGGCAAACGCGGGACTCAAACAACTGAAAGAACCCTGTGTTGAGGAGAACGCTGTAGAGATGGCTTCTTTGCGTGAGATAAACCAGGAACCTCCAACAACAGAAGGAGCGCTGTGTGGTGGAGAAGGATGCAGCAATAGCTGCCTTGCTGAAGGAAAACAAAACACTGAAA